CGATGGGACATGGGCTGCAGGGATGGGCTGCATGTTCAGCTCCATACAAGGCAGGGGGGCACTCCACTCTCAGGTAGATGCACCCAGTGCCCCGTGCTCTGCCCAGACAGGGTTGTGGGAGACCCAGAGAGACCCGTGTCCTGCCCCCCCAGCCATCTGCCCCTGCCCCGCATTTCTCCCCACGTGCCTGCCCATCTGCCACCCAGGTTCTGTCATTCACCTCATCTGCCTCCTGCCCCACTGGGGTCTGCCCCCTTCCCCGGTGCTCCTATGCCCCAGTCTCCTACCTCACTGTGTCCTACCCCCCCATACCATTGGCCTTATTCTCCAGCATTCTGCCTCCCCGTGGACTATCCCCCACCCCCCATCTGCCTCAAGATCTGCTCCTGGCCCCGTTTTCCTAGCCCCCCCACCTGCCTGCACCCCAGGTGCTAGCTCCCACACCCCATTTGCCCCCCACTGCATCCTGACCCCCATCCCATCTCTCCCATGTCCTGGTCTTCCCCTGGGTCCTTGCCCCCCACCATCCCTACTCTCTTTCCTGCATGTCCCTCCAGCCTCAAGTCAGGGACCACCCCCCTTGCACTCTTAGCATTTGGGAAACTGAAAGCACGAACAGTTACGGATGCCTGCAGTGTGGGCATCACGGGGGGGGATAGGGACTGACGGGGCAGCTCCGCAGGAGCACACAGGTCCTGGGGACGAAGCACAGAGGCTGAGCTGCCCCCAGGAGAGACACCCCCCCCCCGCCCCCCGGTCACACACATGACGCATCACAAGCGCTTACCTGCTGCTCCAGGCGCTGTCTGGATGAAAAGGAACCAGCCCACGATGCTGGTGCACCCGGCCCACATGGCGCCTTTCCTGCCCAGCGCCACCCCCACAGCCAGTCCCAGCGAGCGCAGCGCCGGGCACATGGGCCTGAAAACAGGATGGAGACTGTGAGTGTCGGGGCCACTCGCTCCCCGCTCACTGCGCCCTCAGCGGCTCCAGCCCCACGAGCAGCCGGGCGAGCCCAGCACCGCAGGGGCTCCTGGCGCAGAACATGGGCTGGGGGCCAGGCTGCCTGGCCTGGCCCAGCGATGTGGGGGGGTCAAGGAGTGGAACTGGACGGGCCAGACGAGTCCTTGCTGCCAGCACCCTGCACTAAGCAGGGCTTGGACTGAGGCCGTCACCTGCCCTTGGCCCTTCTGTCACTGCCGGGGGCAGCACCACGGCCCCCAGGCACACGGCCCCAGTCTGGTCTCCGGCCGCCCTGCCCCGGCGGCCCTCACAGCCATGGCCTGGCCCGGTTCTCCGGCCGCCCTGCCCCCGCAGCCAGGGCCTGGCCCGGTTCTCTGGCTGCCCTGTCCCCACAGCCATGGCTTGGCCCGGTTCTCCGGCCGCCCTGCCCCTGTAGCCAGGGCCTGGCCCGGTTCTCCGGCCGCCCTGTCCCCACAGCCAGGGCCTGGCCCGGTTCTCCGGCCGCCCTGCCCCCGCAGCCAGGGCCTGGCCCGGTTCTCCGGCTGCCCTGTCCCCACAGCCAGGGCTTGGCCCGGTTCTCCAGCCACCCTGTCCCCACAGCCAGGGCCTGGCCCGATTCTCCAGCCACCCTGTCCCCATAGCCAGGGCCTGGCCCGGTTCTCCGGCCGCCCTGCCCCCGCAGCCAGGGCCTGGCCCGGTTCTCTGGCTGCCCTGTCCCCGCAGCCAGGGCCTGGCCCGGTTCTCCGGCCGCCCTGTCCCCGCAGCCAGGGCCTGGCCCGGTTTTTCGGCTGCCCTGTCCCAGCAGCAAAGGCTCGTGTCCGGGCTCCAGGAACTCCTGGCTCCTTCACACCAGCTCCCCACATCTGGGGCTGCCCGAAAAGGTCTCTGAGGCTTTTTTGGGGCCAGGCGTTCCTGTAAAGGGCCTTCATCTGCCTGCCCAGCTGCAGCCGGCTGACTCGCCCGCATGGACAGCGACGGCAGCCGGGCCCACCAGCATTCGTGTCTCCCACCGGGAGATGCTGCGCACCCCCTTGCTGCCTGCCATGGGGCACTGCGGGGCTCACCCCCAAGGCTGGCCAAGCCAGGAGCCCATCAGATAGGAGACAAAGAGCCAAGAGACAGAGGGGTGGCAGGACCCTTTCCATCCCAGCAGCCTTCATAGCAATTTTGCCGATGCCGGCCTGTGGGTCCCTCAGGGACCCTGGAGAGCTGTGAAAGTCTCTCCACAGCCACATGGGGGGCTCGGGGTGGGGCATGGGGGTCCCTGCGGCCTAGAGGTGCTGCAGGGACCAGCTCATGGCCACACCTTAGCACTGTCATGGCAAGCGCTGACCTAGCCTTGTGGGCCTCGTCCCTGACCAGGGGAGGGGCTGTGGTTTGGGTTGTTTCCAGAGTCCAGTGCAGCAAGTTTATTGGTCAGCGTGACCCCCACCCCTTGTCCGGCCATCCCCCAGCGCTCTCAGCCCGGTCCCTCCTGGGCAGTGCCTTGCCCTGGCTCCCCCCGCTACCTCTCCCACGGTTAACCTCCATCTTCCCCCAGCTGCTCTCACTGAACCCCGCTCTGTAGGAAGCGGCTCCGCATGCGTCTCTGCCTACATCGCTGCTCAGGGAGGGGGCCTGGTCTAGCCCCCTGGGCTTAGACCGTGTGTGCTCCAGGGCCCAAGGCCACTGCCCGGCCGTGGGCTCTCACCTTTCTGTGCCCATTTCCCCAACTCACCCCCAAGAGGGCTGCTGTGGTGCTCAGAGAACAGCCCACGTTCAGTGTCTGTGCACGCACCTTCCCTGTTCCCCTGCTCCTCTCAGGCCAGCCCCAGGGGCCCTGGCACCCCCCAGAGCCACCAAGGCTTCAGGTCTCACACGACCAGCCCTGCTCACCTGGCGATTCAGCCCGAGCCACTGGCTGCCTGCCAGCAAAGCCCGAGTGGCTGGCGCCTGTGCAGCGACAGGAACCAACAGGCTTTGTCCTGCTCTACAGAGCTGACAAGGATATGGTGACACCTGCCTTGCAGGCCGCACCGCTCGGTGATCATTCCCTGCTCAGTCCTGGTGACAGGGCGCGTCCCTGGCTTTGCATGATGTCACAGAGTTGGGGGCGACAAGGCCCTGCACCCTCGGCTTCCTGCAATTCACCGTGACTCTCAGCCAGCCAGTAGAACAGAAGATTTAGACGACAGGAACACAGTCCAACACAGGTCTTGCAGGTACAGACAACAGGACCCCCTCAGTTAGGTCCATCTTGGGGGGGGGGCAGGGAGGCCAGAGCCCCGTTGGGAGGCCGGAGCCCCATCTGGCTCCCCTCCATTTTCCCAGCCGGCTCCAAAACTAAAACTCCCTCCAGCGTCTCCCTCAGCCTCCCCCCGGCTCCTCCCCCAGCCTTTGTCCAGTTTCCTGGGCAGAGGTGTCACCTGGCTCCAACCCCCTCCTGGGTTCTCATGTTACATGCTCAGGTATCTTCCCTCAAGGCCAGTCTCCCATCCCCCAATGCAGACAGTCCCAGCCAAACTCCCCTGCCACCTTCCCAGGCCAACACTCCCCACTCAGCATTCAAAGACCACATTAAGAACATTCCCACTTCGTCACACATGAAGGGGAATCCAGGGAGGATTTTTCAACATTTGCTCCAATGTAACCTTCAAATCCCCCCGGCAGCGCTTGCAAATCTTTGGCTTTTCACCCACTCCAGGTGCAGGGGAGGCCCCAAGCACTGGGCAGGGAGCAGGGCAAGAAGATGAGACTCCTGCGCCTTCCAGCCCTTTGGGCAGATCATTCCCTAGAAACCCTCCCGCAGACCTAGCCAGACACATGGTCCAGTCTTACAGCCGGTCTCGGACCATGTCAGAGGATGGGGTAAAATCCCCCAGAACATACATTCCAGGAGTCCCAGCTGAATGTGGAGGTGAGGTTGAGTGCGTCACAGTGTCTTAAGGGTAAAACCGTTACAGGGGACACAAGCGTCACCAACCCAGGAAAGGCCAAGTGAAGGTTAAACACAAACACAATCCAGACATGGTTATTAGGAGCTGGAAATGCCCAGCTTACGGCACCCAAACAAACGTACGGCCCCGCCCTGTAGCGGCATCATGCAAGAGCCAGACACTGATCCCTGCGTAACAACGCTTGCAGTTCCCGCTTAAATTAAACAGATTTACAGACATTAGATTTTCTCCCTTTGTTTCATCCTGTTGCTGAAGGCTGGCGTTGGAGATGTTTGCAAACCTTAAATCCTGCATTCCCAAGCCTTAAGGAACATGACTTAACGCCATTTCAACAGATTGCAGCTGGGGGTTTCTCTGCTTTCTATTATTACTACAAACTTAACATGGGAACTAAATGAGAAACCCAAAGCAAACATTACTAGTGATACTGCAAATGAGGTGATGCTGGGGAGCGTCAACCTTCAACGTTTAATTTATAGGGGCAGCTTCACAGCACTTTGGCTGTGCGCCCCACTCTGGAGCAGTGCAAAGTAGCCAGAGCGCACAGGCCACTTTCCCCCCAGTCCCTTGCTCACACCCGTTTCCCCTCACACTCCTCTGTGTGCATGCAAGCCCACATCCACCCTGAAGCTTCCCCCTGTTCTTCCCCCCCCGCCCCCGGTGAGCAGATCAGGTGAAACAAGGAGCTTTTCAAAGCCATTTGTTTCTTTAGGACTGACAGTCTCTCTGCTGTCAAGCCCCACCAGCATCCCTAGGGGCAGGTTGGCATCGTTACCATGGGTCATTTTGAAAGATGGCATCTTTGCTGAGGGCACTTTCAGCTTCGCTGCCACTGAGCCAACAGGAGATGGCAGTCAACCGTAATGTGCGGAACTCTCGGCAGAAGTTGATTAGTTGTCAGTCCCTGCTGAAGAAACTTGCAGTTACGAAGACCACTGCCAAAAAATTACCATTAATCCTCAAAAAAAAAAAAAAAAAAAAGTCTTCAACTGTAGCCAATGCACCCGTTTTCAGTGAGTCTGAAGTGGGCAGTTTGAAGCATCTCTGTTATCCCATTAATAAGATCATTCAGGACACACAGAACAGTCTGACACCAGGTGCTAAACTTCTTAAACCATTTTAAATTAATTTTTATTCAAAATAAGTAACCAAATTACTTGGAAATGTTCAGAAATTTCATTCTGTGCTCAAAAAGTAAGAGATGGAACATGGAGGAAAGTGTGCTGTGTTCCTCATACATAAACCAGTGGTGAAACACCTGCTTTACGTGCAAAATGACTCCGCTTCAGTCTCGGGGCCACAGGTCTCCTCGTCCCTCCTAGAGCAGTGAGTCCCTGGGTCACACTCGGAAGCAAGAGGGTTTAGATTTTGTACAAGCTTTGGTTTTATCCTCTCAAAATGTAACTATGGGTGTTAATCAGTAGCCATATAAATGGCCAATGCTTTTTTGGAATCCTATCAGCTCTTGGCCTCAGTGAAATCTTGTGGCAGTGAGTGCCACAGGTAAATTATGCACCCTGTTAAAATTATTTCTTTTTATGTACTTTGAACATTTATTTCCTTTCAATTTCACCTGCTGAGCCCTTGCTCTGCTATTTGCAGAAAAGGTAAAGAAGCTCTCTCACCCATTCCCTATGTCCTCTCCCTCAGGCCTGCCAGCCCTGGGGCAGGTGCGGTCAGAGCAGCATGTTCCCTGGGCCGCTGCACCCCTTGCCCACCTCCCACTCTGCCAGGCAAAGTCCCTGGTCCAAGGGCTCCCAGGCGGGGAGAGCCTGTGGGGGGGGAAAACAGCATCCAGCATGCCCCATTGGAGGCCGATTCTGTCACAGAGATAAGGAATGCAGAGTCCAGAGGCTGAACGAGACTGGGCCCTGGTCTGTGACCCCCTGTTCCAGTTATCAGCCACTGTCTGGGGTGGGGGCCAACCTCAAGGAGCTCCCTGCGATTCCATCTCTTGCAGCCCGAAGGGGGAAGGCCAGAGATGCCGACAGACGGCAGCAGAACAGGCAGCCCAGCAAGCCAGCGGGAGGTTGGGAGCCAAAGACGGACCTCCCTGGGGCAGACTACGGTGAGCAGCGCTCAGCCCAGGGGTGACGGCTCCTGGCGGCTGCGCAACGACTGCCCATTGGATCTCCGCATGAAGCCACCGTCCTGGGGGCCTCGCTTACCACCCTGCGGACTGAGCCTCCAGCAGGGGTTTATAAAGGAGACTCTTTCCCCCCCGGACTCAGCTGTTCCAGTCTCCTTGGTTCAAGCCGGGTCCTGCCCCGGAGGCACCCAAGGAAGTGTCACTGGGGTGGGACAGCCTGGGGCACAGCGCATGGGAGGGGAGAGGTGGTGGGGTTTTAACTCCCGGTTGATGTAAAGCTCCAGACAGGTGCCCAGCTCTCCGCTAGACATGCCCATGTGCTAGGCTTTGCTGGAGACCGGGCCGGGGGTGGGGGCCCAGAGGGAGCCAGAGACGGCTGCTGTTTGGCAGAGCAGCAGCGAGCGTGGTTCTCCACTCCTGTGGGGCAAAGGGAGCCCTGCTCCCTCTGTGCCCGGGTCCAGTAGAGCCCAGCTGGCCCTAGACATGCTGCAGGCTTGGGGCTTGGCTCAGCTCTGCCCCTGCCCAGGTGCTGTGCTTTGCAAGGGGCAGATCTAGGTGAGCGCTGGCCTCCCTGTCTCCCTGAGGGCCCCACCCAGCCCTGTCTGTGCTGCCTGGAATGGCAAGTCCTCCCCCCGCCCCCCACCTTCCTCTGCCCCAGGCCCCCCGAGCCTTCTCACTGCTGTCTCCACAGGTAGGTCTGGATGGAGTCAGCTGGAGCCACAGCCTCAATGAAGCCAATGCCTGGGTCGGAGATCCTGAACGGCACGTCTGTGGAGTACCTGGGGGGGGGGGATGGGGAGGGCAGAGTCAGTCAGACTGCATGGCTGCCCAGCAGAGCCAGCTCCGCCACTGACTGCCCGGCAATGAATTGGCGGGGGGCTGCACCTCCCCTCCAGCTGAAGAGAGCAGTGCCATGCGGGCTGCAGAGCAAAGTGAAGGGACCACAACTAATCTCCCCCTGCTCCCAGGTCCCTCTCCGGATGAGAATCAGTGAATGTGACCAACAGAGCTCTCACCCACCATGTGTTCAGTGCCTCCTCCCCGCCCCACAGCCAGCTGCTTCCAGGGTTCCCCAGTCCCCTTGACTGTACGGTGAGCTCATGGGAGCAGGGTACGTGCCTCCTGCCAGTCTGGGGGCACCGGCTGATGCTCAGGCCAGCGGATTGTCCCTCCTCTGCCCCCACCAGCGCTGTTCTTGCAGTGCTCAGTGAGTAGCCTGGTTATCTCCAAGTCTCTTTCTCCTGCCTGCCCCAAAAGCCAGCTCTGGGCTCCCAACTCCCATCCCAGCACCGACTCCCTAAGCCCCTGCCCCGCTCCCGGTCTGGATGAGGCTCCCACACTCCAGGCCCAGCCACACACCTGTTCAGGACCACGAGCACGGCGGCGCCATCCGGGCGCAGGAAGGCTGCGTACTCCATGCTGTACTTGCAGCTCTTCTTGGAGACAACCAGCCCGACACGCTGGGAGCCCTCGGGGACGAACTTGCTGCACAGACAAGAGGGAGCGGTGAGCACTGGGGAAGGAAAGCGACGGCCCCCGGAGACAAGGCTGGGCCAACAAACACAGAGGCTGCAGCCTGGGGTGGGAGGGAGCAGAGCTTGGCTCACTGGGCACTGCTGTAATTACTGACCTAAAATTTACCCCAGTTGTGAGCTCCAGTGTAAAAAGGCTGCACAACTTCCCAAGGTGTCAGAGTAACCTAGAACCCTGCCGGCTTGGGCGTGAACCAGAAAATAGGTCACGTTGTTTTCAATAATTAAATTGAATCAATGGGTGCACAAAACCCAAAGTAAACGAGCCCAAACACAAAGGGCCTATTAGCATCATCCAAGAGCCGTGTTAAAATGACGCAGGTTAAAGAACAGGAAATGTGGAGCCGAAAATTAATAAATCAAAATTGGTGTGAAATGTTAGGCCTAATTGGTGGGCAAAATAATACGGGAATAAACCAGGCCAGGCCATTGGGGGTTCTTAAAAAGAAACGGGGGGGCGGGGGGGGGGAACCTCAGCTTCCAGTCGCCCAGCAGGCTGCTCATCTCATCTTCCCTTGAGCCCGAGGCCAAAGGAGCAGACCAGACTGAAGGCCTCGCTCTTGTTAAAGGCCCTTTGTTTTTTACCTGTGAGTCCTCAGCTCCGTGGGGACCCTCAATTCCCACCACCACAGAGGCACATCGGCTCCTGTTGTTACTTTCTGCCCCACTATCCTATGTCGGCCTCTCAGCTTTTCAGCCAATCCTGAAATCAATGTGCTGCATCAGCACAGCTGGATGAGAGGGGCCCAGCCCTGCCCAAGGAGAAAAGACCCAACCCAATAATGTCCCTGCCCAGAATGTAGGCCAGGGTCCAAGAAAACAGGTGCCGTGGTCAACATGCCAGCCAAAGCATCCATTCGAGACGGACCAGCCATCCAGCGTTCCAAGACATCAGCAAAAGCCATGTTCCCCACCCCCTTCTACCCTCTCTCCCTCCACCTTGTGCGTGTCTGTCTGTTGGAAACAGGAGAAGTGAATACCCTTTGCAGATCAGCATTAACCCTTTCCTTTCCCTCAAAGAAAGTTGTTCTAAAAATAAAACACTAAGATTTTGCCTCCCAAAGGAGAAAAACTTTCAAGGTTTTAATTAAGTTTGTTTCGCATAATCACCCAATTTCAGTTTCCATATAAATGCTTCTTTTAACTTCTTGTTCTTCCTTGTGTTTAATCAACAAACTTTCAACTTTAGAACAAAGGGTTTGGGTGTTGGCCAAGAAATCGAGTGAACCGAGGTCCCTGGGAGAAAACCCGGACCTCTTGGTATCTCATTTTCTGGGCTGGACTGGAAAAGCGTTTAACACACCTGTGACTCTTTTGACCCTGGGAGTGAACTCACCAGCACAGGTGTACTGAGCCGGCTGTGGGCACAGTCTCTGCAGCCCTGACCAGGAATGCCCCAGCTCACCTGAAATGTCCCATGTGGTAGAACATGGGCTGCTTGTAGAAGAGATCCTTTTTCCTGTCCACGATGACCGGGCTGTCCACCAAGTTCTGGACCCAGTTGGGCCCCCCCTCCAGGTCCAGGGCCAGGTTCCAGTCGATCCAGCCGGTGACGAAGTTGTTCAGGTTCTGTGAGGGGATGGCAGAGATGCTCAGCTGGAGGCAGGGGACAGGGCGGGAGATGCTCCCGAGACAGCCTGCGTGGGGGACCCGAGCGGGCCTTACCGTCAGGATGCTGTAGCTGTACTGGTTCCCCCGATCCCAGCAGCCCAGGATAACATCCCTCTCCCAGAAGTGGGACCCAGTGCAGGCCTCTGTGGCCAAGATGAAGTAATCAGGGAAGAGGTCATGGGTCGGTAACAGGGTGTCCGCTATGGGAGCGATGAAATCCAGGTACCAGTGGACGCCGATGCCATGGACGTAGCGAGCAGCGTTTGGGTCACCCAGCACCTGGGAAGGAAGGAGGGAGGAGGAGCAGTCACTTACTGGCCCGGGCCTTCGAGGGCCTTCCAGCCCCACACCCTCCGAGACAGCAGCAGAAAGAAGGGCCCAGTGACACCACGCCAGATGGGCTCTCCCCCACAGCACAGGTTCGGGCACTCTGCTGCCCTGAGTGACAGCGCAGGTGCCTAGAGATCAGGTTCCAGTCGATCCAGCCCTACGCCAGCCAGGACACACGAGCCGTTCACGGCTCTGCAGCTGGGAACAAGTCCAGAGGCCAGGGCAGCGCGGGGCGCTGGCAAGACTGTCTCTCGGCATTCTGCTCTGTTTCCTGGGTGGAAAACAAAATGCAGGACAAGCCACTGCTGCTTCCCAGGAAGCCGAGATCACTCGGGGCCCAAGAATCCCAGACCAGCCAGGGCAGGAGCCCCTGCTGCTCCCTGGCCAGCCAACTTTACCCCAGCTTCATCCAGGCTGGGCATCAGGCACTTGGTTCCCAGCCAGGTCCCTGGGAAAGCCAGAGGCTGTGTCCTCGAAGCAGAGAACAGGCAGATAGGGCCAAGCACCCCCAGCATTGAGAAGACCCTGCAGCCCGAGGGGAGAGCAAACGGACCCCACGAAGGAAAGGAGCCATCGGAGAGCTGGGAGCTCAGCGCCCTGGGTTGCTGGGTCCTGGCTGCCCCAGACCCCATCACACCCACGCAGATCGGCTGAGCGCACCAGATGTGTGCTTGGGAGTCCCAAGCTGGGCAGCCCGTGGGGGCTGGGGGGAGCCCCATGCTGGGCTCGTTACTCTCCATCAAACCTCCCCCGGGGCCAGGAGCTGCTTTGCTGCAGCCACTGCCGGTCGCCACCAGCGTCACCTCCTGCCTGCCTAAGGCACAGCCACCTCCTGTCTGGAGTCTCCTCCAGACTGCGAAGCAGGGCCCAGCCTCCAGGCACTGCTGTGATAAACAACGTGAACGAGGGCTGGTAGCTCTCCTGGGAGCAGATCGCCAAGCCAGCGGCCAGCACAGCCTCCATGCCGCGCCCATGCTTACAGCCAGACCGAAACGGCTAGGAAATCAGAGGCGGCTAGATGGAACCCGGCTGCCCCAGCAGCTACCTTGCTGTCCCTGGGGGCTGGAGTGTGCTGCTCTCTGCCCCCAGCAGCCCCATCGTCATCCAGGGGTAACTGGAGCGGCTTTAGCAGGACTGGGGTCTCCCTGTACATCCTGACAGCGGCCAGCCCTGCTCAGCCTGGCGGGAACCGCTCCTCCTGCCCAGCAGGGCACACGCCAGGCACGTGCCGGTTGAGTATGCTCGGCCCACAGGCCAATCCCAACACCCGGTATCTCCCCGCAGAGCAGAGCTCATGCACAGCCCCAGCAGAACAGGCGAAGGAGCAGCGGGCCCCGGTGTGCAGACTCACCACTTTGGCCCAGTGCGGAAGCAGCACTCTGTTGTCGTCCAGCATGATGAGCCGGATGCCCTTGTGCGAGCTGTTGGCCAGCGCCGGGCCCAGGTCCTGGGCGATGAAGTCCCGCTGGTGCTCGGCAGTGAAGCCCAGGCATTGGAAGGGGTAGTTGTTGATCAGCCCAGCCGTGGGCTCATTCTGCGCCGTCACCGCCCAGAACGTCAGGTTGTGCTTGGAGTATTCGTTCAGGAACCTGGGGGCCGGGGATGAGAAACATTAGCAGTCCCAGCCCCGCCCCCCAGCGCCCCTCCTGAGGTGCAGAGTCCAGTCCCCCTGCACCCCACTCGCATGGACTGTACAGATCTCACTCAGTCTGTCATTCTGCCGGCTCAGGGAGCTCACACCAACTCCTCCGATGCCCCGTCCCCAACACCCAACAGCCCTTCCCTCGCACAGCCCCAGGGCCAGCTGTACCCACCGAGACCCGCCCCATCCTGCCGGCTCCTCTCCCCAGGGGAGCCCCCACCCCGGGCTGCCCTCTACCTGACGAAGTAGTTGGCCCAGGTCTTGTGATACTTGTCCCCCGGCTTCCCCTTCAGACTTCCCTTCCCCTTCATCTCCCCGTTGGTTTTCATCCAGACCGGCGATGACCAGGGACTGGCGACCAGGGACAGCGGCTTCTTGGACAAGGCCATGGCTCGCTGGAGAATGGGGATCTGAAGGGACGGAGCATCGGGACCAGCTCACCATATGCCGCAGGGGTCTCAGGAAGGAACGTGCCTAGACACACCGGTCCCCTGGGGGCTGCTCCCTCTAAGGAGAGCAGCACGTGCAGCTCAGGGCTGCAGACGCAGAAGGGAGCCTAGAAAGGCTGCAGGACAGGGGAGCTCCCCTTTGCTGTGATGCCCACCAACTGCATAGACGGGACTTTCCCCTCACAACTTGCCACACAGGAGGGGCTGGGAGACGCCTGCCCTGCGGGGCTGTCAAGGCAGCCAAGGAGCATCTGACGGAGACCCGGAGCAATGGCTGAGGGGTGAGTGTCATGGGGGGTGGGGGTGTCAGCCCCAGCCCATGATGGCCACAGAAAATACCCCAGATGAGATGGGGCCTGGGAGCTCGATTGGAGAGCAGAAAACCTGAGCAAATTGGGACTGGCCGCTCCCTGCTCCATCTTGTGCCTCAGGTCTCCCCGTGGCTGGCCCCCCGCGGCTAGGCCCCCACACCCTTCCTGCCTGGGCCCCCTCACCCATAGCTGGGCCCCCTCATTGTGGCCGGGCCCCCTCCCCCTCCGGTGCTGCTCACTTTCAGCTTTGTATCCTCATCCTTCAGGCCAAAGTTGAGGAGCTGGTAGTCGTCTGGGATGTCGTCATAGCTGTAGGGGTGGGTGGAGAAGTCACAGCTGGCCATGGGGATGCGGAGCAGGTTGTACTCGATCCCTGTGGGACAGGAAGGAGGTGACCCAGGACCCAGTGTCACGGGAGCCAAAGCAGCAGGTCCCAGTGACTGCACGTGGGGACAGGGGGCCTCAGGCTGCGGGACACGGGACATGCAGCTCCTGAGAGCCATGAGCCCAGAGCCGGGGCCTGCCCTCCACCAGGAGGTCAATTCCATACATCACTGCCCCAAATCAGCCCCCAGCTCTCACCTTCCTCCGTGAAGTAGGATGCGAGCAGGTGGCGTTGGGTCTCCTTGGACAGGGACAGGATGTTCATTGCAGCCGAGTCTGTGACGGAGCCGCCAAAGCCCTTCACTTTCTGGTACCGCTGTGCCGTGTCCAGCTTCAGCAACAGATCTGCGGGGCAGAGAGCGGCCCAGCTCAGAGCCCTGCAGCTGGCAGCAAGGGCCAGGGACAGCGGCCAGCCCTGCCCTTGGCATCCCTAGTGCCCAAGCCGATACCTGGGGCCGTGGAGTCGCTCTGGAACCTCCCCTCGCTGCGATCCAGCCGCTTGCCCGACTTGCTGCTCTCATACTTGGCGTATGTGCCCAGGGCCGGGACAACAACGGGGTCCAGTGTGTCACAATAGGTGGCGTTGCACTCACACGCCATCAAGCCATGGCCAAAATACTGGGGGCTGCAGGGACGACCACCTAAAAAGAGGGAGACAGACTGGGCTCCGGGTATAGTTTGGTGCTTCCCCACCCCTCCTGGAGAGAATACCCCTCTCCCCCCCGCCAATCCCGTTCCTCTGAGCTCTGGGGACGCCCCTGAGCGAGGTCCCTCCCACATGGTCCTGGGCACCCATCCCAGGAGCAGCAGGGTTCTCAGCACACCCGTTTGGTCCCTCAAACCCCAAGACTCCTGCACCAGCCAATACCCCACTATGCCCCCCACCCCGAGGAGAAGCGCAGAGGCTGAGCTGCCCCCAGGAGGGACCCTCCCCCCGGATCAGACACGACACATCAAAGCACTTACCTGCCACCCCAGGCGCTGTCTGGATGAAAAGGAACCAGCCCATGATGCTGGCGCACCCGGCCCACATGGTGCCTTTCCTGCCCAGCGCCACCCCCACAGCCAGTCCCAGCGAGCGCAGCGCCGGGCACATGGGCCTGAAAACAGGATGGAGACTGTGAGTGTCGGGGCCACTCGCTCCCCGCTCACTGCGCCCTCAGCGGCTCCAGCCTCAGGAGCAGCCGGGCGAGCCCAGCACCGCAGGGACGCCTGGAGCAGCACAAAGAGAGGAGGCCGCCTGCCCAGCGCAGCCTGGCGGCGGAGAGTGTCAGGGAGCTGAGCTGCTCTGGTAACTCCTGTCCCGATCTCACCTCCCTGCCCTTCTGCCCAGCCGAATTCCACCGACTCAGCAAGGCCTCCACCTCCACAGCCAGCCCCAGCCTCTCTTTTAAAGGGAGCCTTGGCTCCAGTCCCTCCCACACCTGATCTCATTTCCCCAAGTCTTGTCCCACCCCCATGCTCTTTCCCAGCCTCTTCCCAACCACTCCCCTAGTCTCCTTCAGCCACCCTGACTTTGTCCCTTCTTACCCAGCAGCCCCTGCTCCTGGGATACCAGCTGCTCCTTCCCCTCACCCTGAACCCCACCTGCCCCTGAGGCTCACCTGACCCAGCGTTTAAGTGGTTGTAGTGAGCACCTCAGAAATCCGGTCCTATATTTACCAACTTCATTAATGATCAGAGCAAGGGAGCAGAGAGCAGGTCCATCCCATTCCCGCACAACACTGACCTGTGCATTGGTGCCAGCCCCAGCCAGAGAGAATCAGGAGGCCCTGGGACCATCACACACCTGGGCAGGAGACGACAACATGGGACTCACCCTGCAAGGACACGGAGCAAAGAGCAATGGGTGGGAGAGACAGGGGGAGGAAGGCGAGAGAGGAGCTGGGTGCTGGCATAAGGACCCCATCCATCTTGCCTAGCCAGTAACACATGCATCTTTTGCAATGGCTCAGTTCCACCTGACCTTGATTACGATGGCAGCCTTAATGAGGGATTAGCAAATGCCCAATCATACCAAACTACATCTACTGGCACATGACTTCTTACAGTGTCCTGTATTAACCCTGGTATCCTGGCCAAATTCCCATTTGGGCAATACTTTGCCAAACTAGAATTTCCCTGCCGGAATTATTAGTCACTTCCTGTAACACTTGTTGCGCAGTTTTTCCTGGTACATTCCTGGACTGCTGCATTCCATCCTGGAGCCGGGTGCATTTCAGTAGTAAATACTTACTGTGTTGAGAATATGCAAAGTGCTTGGTGATGCCTCCAGCTGAAAAGCTCTGTGGGACAACCAGGCTGCCCAGAGGAATCAGGGGGCCGGGGGCAAAGCAATTTCAGGGGAGCGGACATAAAAAAAGACGCCACACGCTGTGACGCTTGTACTCACCGGGCGGCGCTCCGAGTCTTCGGCGGCAGTTCGGCGCCGGGTCCTTCACTTGCTCCGGGTCTCCAGTGGCACTGAAGGACCCACCGCCGAAGTGCCGCCAAAGACCCGGAGCAAATGAAGGGCCCGCCGCCGAAGTGCCGCCGAAGACCCGGAGCGCCACCGGGTGAGTAAAAATCCCAGGGAAGGGATCCTCGGTCAGGGCTCGCGGGGCCCCTGTGGGTCCATCCCATTCCCATCAGGCTTAAAATGATGAATTGGAAAGAGCCTAGATCAAAGCTCCAGCCCTAGCCCTGATTGACTGCAGGTCCCTGCTCTTGTCTCCACAGGTCCTTGGGGCAGGGATGGGGCCCATGTGCCCTTCTAATGCCATCAAGGGTCCTGGGTGAGAAACAGAGATTGGGCTAAAAAACCAGAACATTGCCGGCCCCACCCCCTCATTCAGGTGGCAGGCAGTTGGCATCCACAAAACGCCCTGGGCACCAGGAAGGATGAGAGGAAGGGCTCAGAAAAAGCCCTGACATAAATCTGACTGGCAGAGCCGCGCACCTCCCCTGGGGCTGGCTGGACAAGCTCCCACTCTCTCGGCCCCTCCCTGCCAGCCATATGGGGCGGGGGAGGAGTCCCACTACTGACCCAGTGGGAGAGGCTCCAGGCCCCTCACCAGCAGGGGGAGCAGTTTGTCATGCAGCCCCCCCGGACCCCTAGCTCCAGCACCTATGGGGGGAGGCAGGTGCCCCCCCTGGGCTGGGCACCCAGCGGCCGTGTGCCCAGCACCTGTCTCACAGCCCCAGCCTCAGTGTGCCGGGCTGAGAAATGGGACCAGCACCGGCTCACCGGGGCGCGGCGCGGGCCGATCCCGGGCCAGCCGCCGCCGCCTCCCTGCCCGTCCCCCACGGCCACGCGCGAGTCTGTGGGCAGCCCACGGGGAGAACCCAGGCGTCCGGGCTTCCGGCCCCCCGCCGACAGGCTCCTCCGGCCACTCACCCGCGGGACGGGCCGGCGCCAGGGCCCGGCAGCAGCGGCGGCTCCGCGGCCTCTCGCAAGCGCGGACTGGAGTGGACCGACAGTCACATGACTGCGCGGTCACATGACCCTGCCAGCTGCTCCCTGAGCGGCCGGAACTGCCTGGGGCCGGGCCGGGCCGGGCCGAGCCAAGCCGGGCCGGAACTCCCTGGGGCCGAGC